ACCACAGCTCCCAAGCTTTGGTTACTTTAGGATTGCCACTCCCAGAGCTGCTTTATATACATCAAGGAAAAAAAACCAGGGAAAGAGAATTGAGAGGGGTGCTGGTGAACCTTTGATTTGTATCTGATACATATTTTAAATAGTACTCATTTTTACTTTGGGAGAATATCCACCTTTCTGAGCATTTAGGAAAGACCCCAAGCAAGTTCACAGATATGTGTGTGGATGTGTGTACAGTACACGTTGCAGGGTAGTGGTGGGGACAGAGCTTATAAATATTGTAGTGATGAAATTCACTCATTTCATACAAGTGGAATTCTTTTCAAAATTTGTTGTGTAGTGCTATTTAGATCAGTAAGAAATTGTTAGACTTAATTTTGGTTAATTACACAGTTATTTAGATTGTAAGAAAGCATTTTAATGTATCCCCTCCAGATGATTTGGGACCTTTGAGATGGATCTGTGTATATTGCTCTTGGTTCCCTCCTATTGGCTTCGGTAGTGTCCCATGCCCTTACCACTTACCAATAACTGTGGTGCAGCTGGAACAATCTGGAACTGAACATGCTTAAAACTATAGAGATGAGAGTGGATTTCAGGAAGAGCCTTCCTATTGTTCCACCTCTTACTATATTCAACAGCACAGCACAGTATCAACAGTAGAATCCTCAAAATTTCTGGGTTCTATAATCCCCCAGAATGTTAGAACCATCATTACAAAGGCACAACTAAGAATGTTCTTCCTACATCAGCTCAGAAAGTTCAGATTGCCCCAGGAGTTGTTGATACAGTTCTACAGAAGAATTCTTGAGTCTGTCACTTGTATTTCTATAACTGTCTGATTTGGTACAAAACCAAGCAGGATAGCTACAGATTTTAATGAATAGTTAGGACTGCAGAAAAAACAATTGCAACCATCCTGTCTTCCATAGAGGACCTGTATACTGTATTGCACAGAACAGAAGAAGGGCTGAGAAAATATCTACAGACCACCCACATTCTGGACATAAACTGTTTTGACTCCTCCCTTCAGGATGCCACTATATGGCATTGCATGCCAAAACAACTAGATACGGAGACAGTTTTTTCTCTCGTGCCATCACTCTGCTGAATATCTAATTCCCATAGTATTGTTTTATGTCCAGGCATATGAGTCATGTAGTATTATTATTAGCCTTCTCATCTTCTCTGCAACCTCCTCTTTTTGGTATCATTATTATGCTTGTTATCACTCTGTTGTTTTGTGTGTATACTAAGAGTTTCTGCACTGGAGACAAATTCTTTGTGTGTCTAAACACACTTGCCCAAATACAGTATTACATTCTATTTGATTTTCTCTAAAAGCTTGGAAGGTAAAGATAAAAGCACTATATTGAAAAAAGGCTGCCCAGTTCAATCACCAGCTAGAAGACCAGTATTGACAGCCTGTGAATTAAAAAAAAAAAAACAGATAATTTTACTCACATCCCATTTTTGCTGTTTGGAAAGTCTAGCTTAAATTGATTTTGAACTTGAAGCTGACATTCTAATGTGGGTTAAGATTATAAAAAAAAAATCACTCTTTTTTTTTTTTTGTAAACAAACACAAATCTTTTCTTCTTTCTGTTTACAAAATGACTACCTGAGAAAATAACATGTAATTTTCTGAGATGACAGAGTGGCCCAATTGTTCTAGAATGGGTTGGAATTCAGATAATTTTGCTTTATGTTTTTAGGCTGATTGAGTATTGCAGCTGCTCATATTAGCTAGAAAAAAAAAGAACAATCTACATTAATATCAAGTTTTGAAGTGATGCTCTGCCAACTTCTTTTCAAGTGAATTTTATTCTACAGCTGTTATTTGTAGTTATGTGGTTTGATAAAGATTTGAAAATTTGTTCTATAAGATTTTGATTAATATAATTTCTATCACATTTATTCTAAAGAGAAATTAATATAATTTCTATCACATTTATTTTATAGAGGAATACTCTATATAAGATTATTCTTTCTTAAGAAAAGAGTCAAGATAATTCAAGGTGAGACAAAAGTATATGACAGTCTAAAGGAAGGTACCAAAATTGTTAGAATTTATATTAATATGACATAAGAACACTGCTCTTAGCCCTAATCAAAATCCTTCTTTGCAATGACTGTGCCCTCAAGAGTGAGAAGACCTCTGGGGGTCCTGTAGTTTGAAGTTGGAGATGATGTATACAAGTGGTTGCGAAGTGGAGTGTGAGGTAGAAGAGGTCCTATGGCCAAGGAGGGCAAGGGCAAGTTACAGTATGTCCACCTGACTTTGGAGTTTGGAATTCATGGTCCAAACTATGACAATCATGGACCCACCCTAGATCACAGAGAGTGCAAGTGCAGTTGATCACACACTTTTATCTTGGAGCATATAGTATAGTATAGTATAGTATAGTATAGTATAGTATAGTATAGTATAGTATAGTATAATATAACATAATATAACATAACATAACATAACATAACATAACATAACATAACATAATATAATATAATATAAAAGTCACTTCCCCCAGAGTCTACAGTCACATCGTCCAATCAGCATGTAGTCCAGTTGCTAGATGACCTCAATCTCCACCTTTAGAATACCTGTACCAACGTCCTTGATTCCCAGGGGAAAGAATTTTATTTAGGCTATAACACCCCAGCTATCTCTACACACACCCCTCCTCCCGGCCCCTTTGCTCCAGGATGTGTCAGCCCTGAAGCAGTGAGAAGAGAAACCTCCCTAGAGAAAAGCTACCAAAAGAAAATGGCCACAGTTCAGCCAACTTCAGGGTTGACATAGAGATGGAGATTGGATGTATTAGATGGGTGTGCTCCCTGTGACTAATAGGCCTAAATTGGTTTTGAGATTTTTTCCTAAAGATGTGTTGTCAATTTGACAGAGTTTTGGTTTCCACCTGGAATGAGTATCTACATAGATTGTTTCTATGCAGTCTCTCCTTGCTTGTCACTCTTTGGGTGCTCACTGTTTTCTGAGTAACTCTGGGAGATGAAATGTCACAAGCAACACCTAAAGCATTATTGGAGAAAGACAAAAAGATGAATGAACATAAGTAAGAGTTCATATTATATTGGGCTGATAAAAACATTTTTTTTTTTACTATTTTTAACTATTTTTGTGAAGATCATCAATCCACAACTGGCTTACATTAAAAACAATCTATGTAAGGAATGTTGTAAGGAATATTATAGTACGTGATTGATAAAGTTGCTTAGAGTTGCACTTTGACTATATTTGGAAATATAGTCAAAATATAGGAAATATAGGAAATATATATATTCTGGCATTACTTAAGTCTTCAAGACAAATAGTGTCGATAGCTTTATTCTCTATGAATTCTTCTAATCCCCTTTTAAGGCATGCACGTTAGTGGCCATCATCATATCTTGTAGTAATACAATTCCAGATATGAGTTGTATGCTATAGGTAAGGAACTGCCTTCTCTATTCTAAATTTCAAGTCAGCTGGATAGCTCTTGATCCTAGTCTTTGGAGAGACCAAGTAAAACATTTTCATGTTCATTTTCTCCGTGCCATGCATAATTTTATTCCTCGGTATGGATTCTTCTGCAAAACTTCTTTTCATTGCAATTGGACATGAGGCATACCAATAGATGGCAGACACATGTGGCAATTTGTAATCCCGCACTTTCAGTTTTCTGCTATATTTTTATGTTTGATGCTTGTTAAAAAAGTAACTGGAATGGAGGGTCTGATGTTTAAATTGTTGATCCTCACAGCCTCAGCAGCAGGGATTCACTGAAAGAGAATCTATTTGAAAGAGAACTATAATTTCTTCTCTAATGGAAATAATTATTTTCCCTATATTGACGTGGATGACCCTTAAGCAACTACTTCTCTTTAAACTTATTTTGATTTAAGTGATTGAAACTCTCTGCCCATAATAAAATTTAATTAGCAAAATGTCTTTTTAATATATTTGATCTCAATTTATTTGATGCCCTTCTTCAAAAGAGTCCATGCTGGTGAGTGTGAATGAAACAATTTGCAAAACAACAGTGTAATGAAACAGCAAAATGTCATAACAGAACTGGGAAACCACTTCTGAAAACTGACTAAACATAAAAACAGGGCAAAATCTTAAAATGCATTGCTATTAAAGATTAGGGTGAATGAATTTGCAGTCTGATAGTTCTTTCATATTATGGAATGAAAAAAATGTATAAGCAGATTTCAGAAAAGGCAGAAGGACAAAAGATCAGGTAAGCATCATAAGATGGACAATGGAAAGCATAACAACTTACCTTTGCTTCATCAATTACATTAAGTTGCTTGATTCTGTAGATCATGCCAGAATGTGAAACATAGTATAATATATTCAAAATACCTAATGTTTTTTCTGAGAAATATTTACAATAAATGGAAAACTTATAGGTAGAACTGAATTCAGAAAAACAGAGAATGAGGAAGTGAGACAATCATGTGTATTGTCCCTATCCCTGGTTAATTTATACAACAAATAAATTTTAAAAATGGCAGGAGTGGAAGGCATGACAACAGGTACCAAATTACAGAAACAGATGCACCAGTTAATTAAAAAAAATGAATTAAAACAGCTCATTATACAAGTAAAATAAAAAAAATGTATTAATCTTAAGTATTGAGAATAGAATGGAATGGAATGGAATGGAATGGAATGGAATGAAATAGAATTCTTTATTGGCCAAGTGTGATTGGACACACAAGGAATTTGACTTGGTGCATATGCTCTCAGTGTACATAAAAGAAAAGATACATTCATCAAGAACCATAAGGTACAACACTTAATGATAGTCTAGGGAACAAATAAGCAATCAAATCATATTAGAAAACAGTCAATATAAATCTTAAGGATACCAGCAATAAGGTTACAGTCATACAGTCATAAGTGGCAGGAGATGGGTGATAGGAATGATGAGAAGATTAATAGTAATGCAGATTTAGTAACTAGTTTGACAGTGTTGAGGGAATTATTTATTTACCAGAATGATGGCATTCGGGAAAAAACTTCTTGTGTCTAGTTGTTCTGGTGTGCAGTACTCTATAGCGTCATTTTGAGGGTAGGAGTTGAAACAGTTTCTGTCCAGGATGAGGAGTCTGTAAATATTTTTAGAAGAGAAATGTGACGTCAAATAGCATACTTTGTAAATCCTTGAAGGTGATATAGTGGTAGTAAACATTATTGTTTTCTTGTGTTGAAGAGAAGATGAGGACAAATGCTTAAGGCAAGGGCTCTTCCAACAATCATGTTCAGCTGTAAATGTGGAAGGAAAAAAAGAACAAAGCAAGAAGACAGATGCTTTTAAATTGTGGTTCTGGAGATGGTTAGTAAGAGGAAGAGGAATCACAAGAAGAACCAATCAGTCAATTATAGATCAAATTTTTAATTTATTTTTTTAATTTTCTTTAGACTTCTATACCGCTTCATAGTGCTTTATAGCCCTCTCTAAGCGGTTTACAAAGTTAGCATATAGCATATTCCATATTAGCATATTGCATTAGCATTAGCATATTGCCCCCAACAATCTGGGTTCTCATTTTACCCACCTCGGAAGGATGGAAGGCTGAGTCAACCTTGAGCTGGTGAGATTTGATCTGCTGATCTGCTGAACTAGCAGTCAACTGAAGTAGCTGCAGTACTGCACTCTAACCACTGCGCCACCTCGGCTCTGAATAAGGTCTGAATGATTCTTTGAGCAGAGGATCAGCAAGTAGAAAACTCTGTACTTATGAATATATGATGGAACAGGATGTTGGACTGGAAAAATGGCCATGCTTGACAAGGAGGCTGGACAAAACCAAGAAAGCAAGTTTTACTTCCTAAATATTTAATTTTTCCTAGCCTGCCAGGTTTTTAGTAATCTTTAAGAACTTGGTTGTCTTCCTTGGTACTGGGTGTCAAGAAATTAGTTTAAGCCCATGAGTTTTTATTGTTATTCTGGGTATTGTTTGTGGATGCCATTTAAATATGTTTATTATGGATTTGGGACCAGATGTATTTTGTTTATTATTGCAAATGTTTTAAAAAATATTTTTTACATGCTGTTAAATGCTCAGAGTCATATAGTGAGGTGGGAGGCCATTCAAATCAAATCAAGTCAAGTCACATCAAGTCAAATCAAATTAAAAATATTTTAGATGTGGTATTTTTAGTGCTCATGTGGGGGAAATACAGAATCTTGCAAACTAATCAAAATTGTGTAGCCTAATTTATAGTGTTAATTAAGGTAGAATTACTCTGGCTGCTTTGAGATGCTTTTTCTCAGATCTCTTCCATTTGAACTGACTTTTTATTTATAAATTAAGCTGTGAAATGTCTTGCACATTTCTATGTTTTCCATTCCTCCCCAGACTCCCCACAGTTTCTTACACTGAGGGAAACAGAAGAAAGGAAAAGTAATGGATATGGTAAATGGATAGGATCAAAAAGATTAAAAGATTACCTTTAGACTATCTATACATTATTGCTAGAAATAAGTTGATATGTGAATATTTATCCAAGCAATTAAAGAAGTCAAGCTTGACTCTGTGGTACATAATTAACATGCTGTAGAAGAATTCATGTAATAGGATTCCTCAGCATTCTTGAAAGAAACAGTTCTTTACCTTAACAAATGCATGGATTAGAGATATTTGGGAAGTAGGAAATAATCTGTAAGGCTCTAACTAAACCATGTTAGTAAATCTGGAGAATGACATATTGAGTGAAAGATAGGAAGAGATCACTCTATATTTTAAGGATACTCGCTTTTTTCAAATTATAGTATAATGTCCTTAAGTTTCAAAATAAGGTATTAAGATACTGTGATGTGTCTAGATCTAGACTTACAAAGCTCAGAATCATGCAGACAATGGTTTCTTTGTGATATTATGTGGAAGTGAAAGATTTTCAAGAGGCAGAATAGAAAAATATTGAAATTCTGGAACTTTGGTGTTCGAAACGATTTTTGAGAGTACTGTGGATAGCCAAGGAAATAAACAAATGATCAATGAATCATTCCAGTTGAAACTATGATTAAGTCTGTCCATGTGTCTTTAAGGCATTTAAGGAGTTGCCACTGTGTACTCTGACTGCTAGTTGGTGCTCATTAGATAGGCTCTTCTAATTTTGTCTGTCCTATATAGCAGCTGTCACAGTTTTAACAAAGCATGATGCAGATGTTTCCTGTTTTTCTTTTTTGGCTAATTGGTCTATTGGTTCTAACTGGTCTATTGGTAAGATGTTTTGGATGACTTTGGTTAGCTTGTGTGTTATGGTGATGCTGTCGGTTGTTTCTGAGATGTTTTTGATGTATGAGTATTATCCTTTTCATAGCTTGTGTTGTTTATACTGTAGTGGGTTGAGTGGTCAGGCATTTTTTGATAAAGTTGCACGGGTGTACATTTTGTTGGAAGATGCTGTCTTGTTTGTCTATTTCTTTTTCTGGGTTCCTGGCAATGTGTTTGTGTTCATCTAGATGATGTTTTTAAACAGCTCTTCTTGTGGAAGGTTGGGTTGTTACTTTGATATGGAGCACTTTGTTAGTATGGGTGGGTTATTATTTTTTTTTAGTAGATTTGTGTTTCCAATTTGTAGCCATTTCCTCTGCTGATAAGGATGTCCAGGAAGGATAATGTTTTGCGATTTTTTTCTTCTCTGAATTTTTCCTTGAATTCCTTCTTCCTTGAATTCCTAAATTTTATTCCTTTGAAGGTTCAGTTGATTGTTTTATGTGATTTTTCTAGTTGTTCCTTTTTTATTATAATAAAGGTAGAGCTGTGCGTGCGAGTGCATGCACCTGCTTCTTATGCAAGTGGAACTGTGCATGCAAGCACACTTGCTTGCTGCTGGTGCAGCCCAGTTCTGAATGGAACACAGCCCCATCATCAGGCCATGGCCCAGGGGCTGGGGACGCCTGGTATAGAAATTAGGCTTATCATGTCTTTCTCTATAACTTACCCATTCATAAAGTTCAGGGAAACAAATAACCAACAAGTTTCACTGTTTCAACATTTTGGATTATAGAGTCCTGAAGAATATTTTAGGTACAATAACATAAGTGTGTAGTCATGGCAGTGGTGATTGCCTGTGAGAGAGTGCAAACATATGGTTGAGCAGCCCTTGGAGGCACAGGTAATTATTCTTGACTGCCAAGCTCACTGAGAAATGAGATAGGAGGACATTTGATTTTACAACTGTATGATTGCTTGCATGAAATATTTAATGGCCATATTGGATAAATTAGATCTCTCTCTGCATAATGCAATCAAAGAATAGTATCTTTAATTATTTACATGGCACAGCTAGCCGTAGTTTTTCTCTATCAGGTTCTCTCAATGGTATCAGGCTCAGGTTGTTAAAAGTTTAGAGGTCTGAAGCCAGAAAATGTGAAAGTGTCTTGCAATCAAATGTGAATCTGACACTCAGGAATTAGCTCAACACAGAGTAACGATATACAAGACTGAGCACAATATGAGCCAAAAGGAGAGGGGACATCATTAAGGAAATTATCTCCATAAATGAATAAAAGCTTTAGATTTAGAAACAACTGCTTATGGCCAACTCTTGGCAGCATTTTCTGAGATACTTCATAGGAGCTATTAACTTCCATGAGGATCTCCATGGAGGCACCCAACTAAATCAATAAGTGAACAGACATGGTGGGAGGTTTAATTATAGCTTTGATTTATGTATTAATAGTTAATTTGAGTTAAATGATCATTTAGAATGGAATAGGGATTTTTAAAATTTTAACTACCTAAAGATTTAAAACTCGGATCACAGCTGGAATTCTGAGATTGCTTTCAATTACACTCAATTATGTTTAGATATATACTATGGTTTCCATTTATGCCCATGCATTTGTGTACAAAATTTCATTTTATTTCTAAAAAGGAGTTCTCGCAAAAAAGAGATTGAAAAGATTTTCCTGTATCAATTATATCCTGTTTTCACACTAAAATGAGGAGCATGAATAAGAAAGAAGGCATTTAATACACATCTATTTTATTTCTAATGTTGATAAACTTTCGATCAGTAAGGTCATTCCGGTTTTATCAAATTAAAATGCCTTACAGTGAAATGGCTATTTAAAACACTCTAAATATCTCTGTATTGGAAGAAAGATATGGGACAAAATAGGCATTTCAAAACCATTTCCCCCCCCTCCATATTAAATATCCTGGGGAGAGCAAAAGACTTCTGATGTCAGGGGTAGTGCCTTGTGGGCCACATACTAGTGGAAAAGAAATGTGACAATACAGAGCATCTCTTTTTTCTTTTTATGGATTGGTTATAATTTTTTTCAAAATCAATTTTAGGCCAAATCAAATGCCAGGCTAATCCCCCTCTGACTGTGACAGAAGAATGGTGGAAGCCATCTTGACTTTTTTTTCTTCCAGTTATTGGTTTATTTATTTATATGTACCCCACCTTTATTATTTTTACAAATAACTTAAGACAGCAAACATACACAATACTCCTTCTTCCTCCTATTTTTCCCAAAACAACTACCTGGGCACATGGGTTGAGTGAAAGTGACTGTCCAAAGTCATTCAATTGGCTTTCATCTCTAAGGTGGGACTAGTACTCACAATCTCCTGGTTTCTAGTCTTGTACCTTAACCACTGGTTATTATTTTGGGTACTAGAATTATTTTACAGGAAATGGATATAGAATAATAAAAAAAATAACTGGAGGATTGCTGTCAAATTGCTATCCTTCCATCCCCCCACCATCCAGTCATAACTGATGAAGCTTCTTGAATGAGAAGCGAAACATTTTCTTCTTCTTCATCAAGGAAAAAAAACCAGTCCAGTTGCCTTTTGAAAAAAGCAACTTTGAGACAACTATGACCTGGAAGACTGAGAATCTCCATAAACATTTAACTGGAGGATATTTTTACTTAGCATCCATTGATTGAATGTTGGGGTAGAAAGGGAAAGCGGTCCAACATCATGGCAAGAAACAGCATTATTCATACTTTTAATATATGAAGTATAAATCCCATGATTAATATCTGAAGAGGGCTAACCAAATGATCACTTGGAGAGGAAAGAACATGACAAATGTTCCCAAGTAAGCAGTTCAGAAGTCTTGCTGTTTCATTTCTTTTTTA